GCCGGCCCAGCCCTAAACCACGACACAAGTCAACATAAGTGAAAACATGAGCTTACACCTTCAGGCTAAATCTGGCTGTTGCAAGGATTTCCCTGCAAAAAAACCCTCTTTTCCCCCATTTCCGTCTGTTACCTCACACTTTTGCCTGGTGAAATGCCTCAGTGAGAACCAGACAAATACCAGTCCCTGATGGAGTGGGCTGAGTCAAGAAAAGCAGTCTTCAATCATCTTTCATTCAAATGTTTGTCAGCTTTTCCTTATAAAAGTGAGGGATTCTGGATTTTTACTTCGTGTCTACTAATGCCAGAATAAAAGCTGTAAATCTCTGACCTGCTTATACAAGTGGTTGGCAATTGCATTAAAAGGTTTTGCTTGCTTTTTGTTTTTTGTTTGTTTGTTTTTTTTTTCCTGGTGAGGCATGAACTACAGCCAGGCAATACAAAAGCTCTTGTAATTCTCCATGTGATCTGCACTACCAAATCTTTATTCAGAGAAAGCCTCTTTCATATAGCAAATGAACAGAAATGTCCAAAATATCAGTGGAAAAGCTCACAGCAGGAACAAAGAATCTATAAGCACCAAAAGTTGTCCAATGCCTTACATTTTGTTATCACAGAACATTCATGTCTGAAGTAACAGGAGTTAAAAACCATGTTTATGCTTTTGTTATTCTTATACATGTCTTGTATCAGAATCTGGAGAAAATACGTCGATAGAGTGAGTGTAAAATATGTGATCAGGCCAGAACCAACCCATAGAGTTTAGCTTGCGAAAAAAAGAGACTCTCATCTTTCTGCCTTGGCAAGTCTCTTTTCAATAGCAGATGTGACATGTAAAAAATGCTATGCGATTCTGGACAATATCAGTGTGAATAGCCAGTGAGAAAGGTCATTAACCTGGTCCCATTTTAGCCTACTACTGCTTTAAAGATAAAAAAGAAGCAATTTTATTATTGGATGTTAAAACAAACAAGCGTAAAGCTGACTTTGAAATACATTAATGGTCCAATTTTTTTTTAGAACAGGATGTGTTAAAAATAAGCAACCACAATATAGAGATGCAGTGACTGCATGTGCCTAACTCCAGCTAAATTATGTATCTATACCAGTCACATGCATCAGTGCACACACACAATTCTGCAATATTTGTCCTGTCGCTTGTAGAAGCTCACATACTGCTGATATTCAATGTTTACCAAGATCTGTTTTGTTTTCTAGCTATAGCAGCAAAAAGGCTGCTGCCTGACAATTATTATTCAAATATGATATCTGATGATGATTCCAGACATCTTACATTCACAGCATACACAATTTCTGGCAAGAAAAACTTAGCCTTCATATATGAGCAGCTAGAAAACATTTTGGACATGTATACTATTAAATTATTGCCTTGCAGAAAGCATTTGATGTGGCCTTCCATCCACAGCCTGTTGTAAGCAGCCTTTATATAATTCCCAGAGCAGCTTGTAGAAAACATATTAAAATTGTATCTCATGGATGGACTGAATGCTTTCTCCACTCCAAATCTCTGTAAGTGTGTTCTACACTTAACAGCACCGCCTTCCTTATCTTATGGTTTCCAAATCTCAGATGCCTCTGATCTAGCTGTGTTAGATATCAATAAAATATCCTGTGGAGAAAACCAAAGGCATCTAAACAGTGTGTCCATCCTCTTTGTCCTCTTCCAGACTCTCCTTTCCTCTACTTCTCTTGAGTGGTTGTGGAAGTCCAAAACAATATGGTATATTCTTCCAATTCAAGATAACACCCCATGGCCCTGTGATTATGATGTTACCTGTCTAACTACAGGATGAATGAAGTAGTTGTCAGGTAAGTCAGCAAATGGTTGCAACATTCGACCTGTGGCAGAGAAAGTTCAGATCAGCAGAGGTAAGGACAAGGATGATGCTCAAGGCTTTGGAAGCTCCTGAGACACAAAGAGTAAGAAGCAATGGGAGTGTTTAGCTATGTGATGTTCTTCCCACTACAGAGCACAAGAAGAGATATGCCAGTGGTCCAGCCTGGTGTGGCCACTTTTATGTTCCTGTATAGACAGAAGACAACTCTCAAGGTTTTCCTGCTGTGAGTTGAGCTGAAAGACCACTTTCCATGGGCTCAGCAGTATTTTTGAGGAATTGTCTCTGCTTAAGGAGTCTATCATGGCTCTCTTCTTGATGAGGCATCAGGAGGGTTGGAAGTGGGGCTGAGATGTATGTCTAACAAGCCTGGTAGGGTGAGGAGAAAGCAAGATGACAGAATGTGCACTGCATCCATAAGGATGCTGCAGTGTTGTCCTTAACAACTAAAGTGACAGTTGGATGTGTAAGGGAAGCTTCATGCCAGGGAGGTTAACACGTCACCTATAATGGAACAAAGGCTGAATGAGTCGTCATGAATAAGATGTGCAACATCAAAACAAAAGTCAAGGAGATTCCATGGCAAAACCTGAGCTTCAGAAAGATCAAAACAAAGGAACTGAAATATCTCTGCGTACATAGTTCATTTTTTTCCTGATCCACAGGCATCAACTGTATTCCAAAATAGAATGACCAAGAAACTCCCAGTAGAACTGGGTATTTTTTCCACAGCCTTATAAGGAATATTTTGCTTCTTGTTTATTATTTCCACTCTGGCCCAGTTATATGGTGGCCCAGAATTATAAGCATCTTCTAGCCATGCGGTAGAATGTTAGCGGTACTCCTTGTGAACTACCCAGAAAATGGAGGTACATGTCACAGGAAACACATTGAAAGATGGCATTTATTCTCCTCTTCCCCAGGCTGGGCAGTCTGAGAAATAAGACAAAAATAAATGAGTCACAGAAAGTTAATTACTTCATCACCTCAAGAGAAAACTGAGACGGACATGTAGCCCTGCAGGTCTACTTATGTAGGTTCTTCTACTGTGCTCACCAGCCCACCGCCTGACAGCGATGTAGTAAGCGGTATGACTAATACTTCACATATGTTGTTTGCTCTCTCATCCTCTCCAGAGGAAGCAGCGCATGCACCAGTGTGTCTTGTGTGATAGGATTTTCTGCTCTCTTTTTAAATAGAAGTGCAGCTCTGCATTGATGCTGCAGAGAGCAGCTCCAAAAGGTTCAGACCCTGCGCTTTGAGGGGAAGCTGCTGAGTGTGGGACAGTGCTTAATTCTTGCATATGTTTGTTCCCCAGCCTCTGAAGAATGAGAAGGTTTTGTCTGACTTACATGCAGGCTTTACTCTGACAATAGTGCTATCGTGCAATGCTATCATAATGGGGCTTCTCAGGCCAGCACCTTTTGGCAATTGCTATCTTTGCCTTAAGACAGAGAAAATCAACCCTTTGAGCAAATTAGCAAGCTATCCCTCAGAAATACTGCTAGAGAGCTGATCAAACATTTGGATGCACTTTCTGCGAGTTAGCTAGCAAGGCCCAGCCCCTTCTGCTGACGTCTTTCCTCTCTATCACACATCAGACTTTTCCCAGTGGAGCTGGAGAACAGGCTTCAGTGAAAACTGCTTGTTTGCAGCGATATGAAAATTGCAGGCACCACAATCACTATTTTCTCTACCTGACCTGGAGCAGAAACTCCATCATCAGGATAGAAAGGTAGCCTTGTTGCCTAGCAAAGGTGAGATGATTTATCTCTGTCTCTAGATTGGTCCCTTTTCTTCGTTGTTTTTAGACTTCCAAGGAGAATGAAGCCAGGCTAGAAATCAGAGTGGATGTACAAGAGCTGCTCTCGCAGGGAGGAGAAGGAGTCACAGGGTTTCTGTGCTTTTTGTGCCTGTGCAGCACAGGACAATGGTTTTGTCTGCCCCACTTATAGCCCTGGGGGCTACCTTAGGGACTGCAACTAGCATCCTTGCCCTCTGCGGTCTCACCTGCTTCTGCAAATGCAAGCAACCTGGGAAAGGACTCTCAGAAAAGGACCAAGAGGAGAACACGGAAAACACTAAGCCCAGTGTGCTTCAGCCAGTCCAGCAAGTAAGACACAGTCTCTAATTAATTTACTCTGTGAATTTTTCTTTAAATGCAGAGGGTGGGAATGCAACTTCTCTGTTAGGCTACTCAGCATGTGATTTATGCTGCCTCTTTATCTGCGTACTGTGTTCAGGATGTAACAACATGATAATGGGAGGAAGAGTGCAGGAAAAACAGACAGGAGCTGGGTGACCCCCAGAATTACCAGAGCAGGAGACAGCTGCCACATTGCCAAAGAGAAACCTGCTAATGGCAAAAATAAGGGAGGAGGACAGGAAATACTGCTTAGCTGTCAAGCTAGATCACAAGAGAAATCATTTTCTGAGGAGAAGACTAAACTTTACCAGGTGGCATACAGCATTGTAAAGAGGAGATGACTCCTGCTGGAATCTCCTATTAACAGCTATTACTCTAAATATTCATGATTTCTTATGGTTCCTGCAGGATAGTTCCCTTTCAACAGCTGGTTTCTTGTGCAAACCATCCCTCCTCCTCCCTCTGCGTCTCTAACTGGCGGGACTAATTACATGTGAATTATAATAAAATGCAAGTGAGAATCTAGAGTGTGATGATTGGACAATCTCATCACACTGTGAATTGCTTTTTCACTTACTATAAGAGCAATGTGGAATAGGGATAATGTCAGGCATCCCTGTGTGGTCTTTCTTCTTGTTAGAACAAAAAAGCCGTGATTGACTCCTGAGCTCAGGACAAGAGAGAGCAAGGGGAATTATAGGACCCTTAATGAGAAGCTGTCCTTTAAAGGGACATTTTTGACTGATTTCTTTGGTTGACTGTGGTCTTTAGCATGAACTATAGCACTGTTCAGTCTCTGAAAGTATTACCTGTTGGTTGTTCCTCTTGATGGTTTTTTGTGCTTATGTCCTTTTCACTTTCATCTAGCCATTCAACCAAATGATATACCATAGCAACCAATTCCAAAGGCCAGTCTTTCTTTGCCTTTTAATTATCTGAGCTGTCTATTATTTTTGTATTATTAAAGAATGTAGCAGGAGTCCTAATTGAACTTCTCTGTAATGTTTATAATGATGTATTCAGTCTGTCTCTGGCTACCACTCCTAGGCTCTTATTAGAAAAAAGCCCTTGCATCCTCATGCCCCTCTTGCAGTTTGTTCTGAGGAAAGATGACCAAATCTACTAACTGTATTGTAAGATTTGGTGCAGATACACAGAGTTGCATTACCAGAGCTTTTGGTTGCCGGGGGAAGGAAAGATAGCTCCACCGACCATGGATTAGTATCTGCCCTGAGTTTAGGACTTCTCAAGAGATTGCTGCCAATTCTGAGCAATCATCCATGAACATGGTGAATAGCTCCTAGTACCTGTTTGCATTTTCCTAGGATGAATTTTACCTGCTATCCTGTTTGTTCTGTCATGTCATTTCCAGGCTCCTTTCTTGTCTTTTCTAACTCATACAGGGAATTTGCCAACTCCTGTATATAAGGATGTGCAATAATGCTGAAATTTTCCAGGTTTACTGTTAAAATTAATAAGAAAAGTGTAACTTTGACAGTCATATCACTTTGCATAACATTTTTTCTAGACGTTGTCTGGAACAGCATTACCCACAGATAACTTTACCATCAGCCTCTTTCTACAAGGTACCTTTTGTTGTTGTAATCTTCTAGCTCAGAAGTCTCTCAAATCTTTACCTTAACCCTATCCTTGAATTGGACATTTTTCTTTTATACAGCCTTTTGGAAAAAATCTTGGGAAAGTGTTAATCCATCCTGAAGCTTTTCCTCTGGGGTGTCATCCTGCTTAGATGATTGAAATAAGCACTAAGTCACCATGAAGTCCAATTAAGCCTCCAGTACCCAGCAGCTATTAGATTATGGTCCTCACAATATTTCTACATTCTTCAAGTTTTACCATAACTTATTCCAGTATCTGATCAACAGGAGATAAAAATTATTCAACCTATCCTCAGTGTATCACTATTACCTGAGTGATTGTATTTGTCTAGCATTGTTGACTTTCTAATTAGAAGTATTATTTCTAATGTTACTGGGGTTTTGTTGGATTTTTTTGTTGTTTTTTTTTCTTTTTTTTTTAAAGAAATCTGGCCAAATTATAGCAGTTGAATGAACATTCTGTCACAGAAAGTGCAAAATGTTCTTTGTTTGCTTATTCCATATGTCTATCAATTCTTTCCAATTAAAATAGTTTTCTTGCCAGGAACATGCTTTCTCCTATGCTGTCACTGATTCTGAATCAGTCTATATACCTTGAAGGAATGAATCTCAAATTGAGTTCTGAGCTTGTGAAGTTTTATCATCTGTGTCTATGTTTATAAATTGTCCTGTCAGGACTTTCTTCTGACTACATTAGTACACTGTATGTCCTAGTCAGTGCTTGGCATACTTAATTATTGAAGCCTGTCAGGACCACTGATTCTGATAAACAGAGATGGCAAAAGAAAGATGAAGCGAGACTTCATTTTATTCACTTGCCATGTCTCCTGTGACAGAGATGCTTGTATTTGCCGTAGACAGAGGCTCCCCAGGGACATGTCCTGCATATGTGAGGAAGAGTTCAAACACAAAGATACATCTACAGAACAATTAAAAACAGCTGTAAATTTGCAAAATCTCAGCAAAGCAAGCAGGATGAATATTCTTAAACACAACCAGCAATGGCAACAAGGTGGTGCATTGTTTGAGTGACACTGGGCAGGAACCGAGAAGGGTCAGTTGCAGCCTCCTTTCTACTTTTGGTTTATTTGCTTTCATGAATTTTATGCAGAACTACCTAAACACTTCTGCTCATCTCTTTATTTAAGATACTGCTGCTAATTTGCAAAGGGAACTTCCATAGGGCACTGCTGTGTAACTAGATTAGCAGACAGTGCTTGGTAACAGAGCTGGCAGCAAAAATAATAAACAGAGGCAGATGCAGTTGGAAGAGGGGGTGGGCTAGTCCCACTGAGCTTGCATATGTCTCTCATCTCTAATTCTGCAGAGCAGACAGACAAGAGGAATATTTAGACCCAGTGGAGTTCTTAGCTGTCGTGTGCTGATGGATTTCCTGAGTAAATGTCTGGCTTGTAGCAAGTGAAATAAAATATTGTACTAACAATAACTCACATTTGTATGGTGTTTATCATCCCAAAGGATCCCAAAGTGCTTCATGTGCTCGCAGCACACTCGATGCAGGTATAATGCTCTGGTGTGATGGTCAGTGACTGAAAGGACAGCAGCTTTATACAGCAGAGGCTGGCCACCATGGCAGGCACTGTATGTGTGTTAGGAGTAACGCCTTTGCAAAACAAAAGCAACCTGGTTTGTCAAGCTGTTGTCTAGTGATTCCTGACATATTTTCTTGGCTGATCTGCTTTAATTTTAGAAGAATGGAAAGCTGCATTTAAGATTTGGATGAGTAACTTCAAATATCCTATGTATTTTAGGACTGATGAGGCTCACATCTCTAAAAGAGGGATCTCACTTACAGACCCACACTGTACAGTTTACATAATATCTAAACTCAGCTGATTGCCAGGTGGAGATCTGCACACAGTGACGTCTGTCTTTCTCAACCCACTTGTCTTTCAGAGCCCTTAAAATTAGATAAGACAAAATGCTGTGTTACATAGGGCACTTTCCAAAGAATGATGCCCTGGCTGCCTTGAGAAGATGGAGTCTCTGACCTAATTAGTTCTTTACCACTTCGAAGTGCACGTAACCATCGTGCTATGGTCTCCAGAAGCAGATTAAGACTAAAGAGCTAAAGCACAAGACTGCTCTCTTTCTTTAGCTCTATATCTTGAGGAATAGGCATGCTCCCTCAGGACATGTGAACTGGGACCACAAAGTCCCAACACAGACAAGTGCTTCAGGGCATCATCTACATTCATTATTAATAGGAAACAATGAGACTAATGAAAAACTTTAATTACAATTATAAACGTTTTCTGGCTCACTCTCAATCTAAACCTAACAGAATATATTGGCAGACAGCAGGGTTGGAGAGAATCCCACTGCACAATAATCAACCAAAATGGCAGGTTTAGTTCTGCTTTTTGTCTTTTGTGTTTTGGAAACATTAATAAAATCTGTTTCAAGGGTCAGGGTCATTTGCTAGTCAGCTTTTGTTCTTCCTGGTGATGAATCTAAATAGAAATGAAGCAGGAATAATTTCAGTTGGATTCTTTCTTGGGACATAAGGAAAAAAGGACTGTTATATTCCACTAAAATATTTTTCATTGTTTTGGGAGAGCAGTAATGACTTTGTGACAACCTTTGCTTGGGCTGCCTGAGCATCACACTGTCTTTCAGGTTCTTTTGCTCATTCCATGTTCACAATTCAGCAGGGAATTGAAATGTTAAGAACAAACTCAGACATAAATCCCAATTTAAGTCCTGGTGTAATAAAAGGGAAATGTATGTCTGAGGGTCAGGTAGGGCTCTGGTCCACAGAGCCAAGGCATAGTCCAAAAGGCAATGACCACTGAATCAACTCCTCTTGCTATGCCATTGCAGGGTTCATTTATTCAGCTCTCCTTTGTCTTATTACACCATGGTTGTACTTGCTCCAGGTGACTGTATGATCCATGCCTTTGCCTTCTAATGCTTACTAAGTACTCATATAAAATGTTCTGAAATCTGTGGGTGGCTATAGCCTCTTGATCTTGGATATGACTTAAAAAAAACCAGAAACCAAAACAAACCCATACCTCAATCATAGCAAAATGAACTTCATGGTTGATTTCTGTGCTGAAAGAAAACATAGACTTATGAAAGAAGGAATAACTGGTACAGGAACAGAGGAATAATAAAACAATAAGGACATATCTTTTTCTTGTTGTGAAAACGAAACATCTGTAGAGGAGTAAATGTGAAAAGCCATACATCAAGTAGAAGGGTATTGGCTTTGGCAAGAAAAATCTCTGGACATACAGGCAGTGGTTTCTACAACCCAAGAAACAATGATGGTATGAATTATCAGAGACACCATCTTTTCTCCCTTTGTCACAGCCAATTTAGCATTGAGAGAATCAGAGGAATTACTCTACTTGGTCCAAAGTAATAAACAAGGTTTTAATTTTCAGTTCAACGTTAAGAAAACTGCAGAGCCAGTCCAACCACGAGCACTCCTGAAGTTTCCCAACATTTATGGCCCCAAGCCAGTAGTAACTTCGCCTGAAATTGTTAACTACACACAGTACTCGCTGAAGACAACAGAAGAACCAACTACTGTAAAACATGCTGGTTTGGATGAGAACAGAATGAAAATACAAGTCAGTGAAGAGCTGTTTGTTCTCCCTCAAAACGGTAGGAGCATTTGGGCTTCAGACAAATAATTGCTTTTCTGGGTGTAGATCTCTAATACTTCTGTGCATAATGTGATTGTAGGTAGAGAAATAAGTGTGAATGCAAAGATATTTTGTGCTTTTTGCTCTCTTATCATGAACATTCTTTCTTCGGTGCATGTGTTTAATAGAAAGTAGTCATGGAGCTCATCAGGACATTCAGATAACAAAGCTGTAGTTGTGTCTGGTTGTAATTTTGTTTTTAGCTGAACATCTTTTGTGTTGAAGAAACTGTCTCACCGGAAGCAGACATTTTGTATTTAGTATAGTTGTATTTAGTGTAGTTGTATTGAGAGCAGTTGCCAGAGTACAGAAGAAATATCTGGCCAAAAGTAGGCAGAGTATCTCCTCCAGAACAAATACTAGCTGCTCAGAAACTGTCCTTATCAGGGACATGAGCAGCAGGGGTTCAAGCTTCTGCTTTATTTTCTCTACTGCTTTTTTCCCATTGGTTTGATGAGATGGTCTTGGCTTGTTTAGATGTGCAGTGAAACCAAAGGCTGACACCTCAGACATTTTTGCCAAGCAGAATTCTTGTTTTCCAGCCAGCCCAAAGGGTAACATGCCAAAGCTTGGAACACAAGATTCCTACAGCCTAAGAGAAAATGCAATGTTAATTATATACATCTGGCAGCGTGTCTGGGTTGCTTCCATACTGATTTTTACCTTCACAGCTGCCTTTTAACAGGATAAATTACTCTTACGTTTACCACATTAATAAAACCTTCCTGAAGATTTGCCAGAAACACAATGCCATCTGTCATGATTTTTTAAAGATAACTATTTCTATTTTTTTAAAAAAATCACTTGAGATTATATTTTTGTCCTTCTGGAAGGATGATTGCTATATTCACCTCTCCATCCTGAGACTTGTGTGTGTGGAACAGAAAGTACCATGGGAAGCAGCTGCATTGGAGGAAGAGACTGAGCCACATCCTCAGGTGTCAGGGAGAAGATTATAGGGAGGAGAGGCTGAAGGATGACGGCTGCATGTAGGCTAAAGCTTTCTATAAGTGTGTTGGTCTAAGAGCCTCTCTGCACTGCTAATGGCACAAGCAAGTTTGCTTCCTGCTGTGCCTGATTTCATAGCTCACATGTTGCTGAAATAAAGCAAGAATTATTGCATTCTCCTATTGGTGCCACATTGAACTGCTCTGGACTGTGACTGAGATTTTTAGAAGGAAATGTGCTGGTCCCACTATTGTTTTCTGTGTGAATCAGAACTGACCTTGCAGCTGTGGCTTCTCTTTTAGTCTTGCAACTTGCTTTATTTCAGTATGAAATATATGCCCAGCTTCAAAATCACATGTGGCGATACTGCCTCACAGCTTCCCAAGCTCATTATCTTCAGCCTGGTCAAGTGCTATGGAAATCAAAAGTCGAGTCAAGACAGGGTGGATTTGCTCTCCTTGGAAGGAGGAGGCCTGCTTGCTAAAGGGGCTATTTCATTTCCAGGTGTGGTAAAGGATGTGTGTGTCACGGAGCACTTGAACCCCAAGAGGGCAGCCAGCTGTAACCAGGCCCCCGAGCTGCGCTACTCCCTGGAGTATGATCAACAAAAAGCCGAGCTGCGTGTTGCCCTTCTGGAAGGTAAGGAGCAGAGATCTTCCACTGGTAATTTTTCATCTGGAGGGTACAGGACACTTGTTGATTTTATAGACAGTTCCTCCCCTACTTCAAAATAAAAGTGTCCCCTGGACGTTTCACTGGTTCTAGGCTTGCAGAATAGAAATATTTGGCAATGTCACTGCTTGAAGTGACCGTGCAAGAAATGGCTTGGGAACAATTGCCTGCACAGCTCAAAAGCAGAAGTCAGGAACCAGCATGGCCTTCTCCAGTTCCAGACACGATACAGAGCAACTTCTAGTTGTCTTTTTTTTTTCCTCTGGGGACAGTGCTATCTCCTTCCTTTCTATTTTCATTCTTCAACTTGACCCACTCCCTACTGCCTCTTCCTCGAGTCAAGTCAGAGGCTGAGCTGGAGATATCAGACTTATCTTGTAGGTCACTGGGGAAGGTCCTTCTGCCTGCGCCTGGCCAGGCAGCAAGGCTCCGTGTCACTCCCTGAAGTGGGAACTGACAACTGTAACAGTTTCTCCACTCAGGGCTGGAGCATCATCAGTTCCTCTGGGAAAGCAAAATAAGCTGACTGAATAATTCATGCACAGTGTAGATTTCTCTGGAAACCTAATCAAATCACACCCTCTGAAGCAAGAACTGAAAGGGTGCTAAATGGCAGCCACTGCTGTTACCAGCAGCAAGCCCACAGCTTCCCTCTAGGATAGACACCTATGCCTGTGGGCTGCCGCTTTGGCTCTTCTGCATGTGTGCTCCTCTCTGGCTGCCCCACTGCCACTTGGGCAAGATCCAGCTCAGCTCCCCAGCTCCGCTCTCCTGAGAAACCTGGAGACCTTGGTGAACCATGAGACCTGGAAGCTCAGGAGCTGCTGTCCTTGGACTGGATGCAGCAAGGACTTCAGTTTTGCCCAAAAAGCCATACAGTGTTATGATCCCTTGGAGGAATGTGTACTCCTCTTGCTGCAGAGAGGGCAGTGCAGCTCTATTGATGCAACTTGAGTGTGAAATGCTATTCTCACTCTAGGCTTTTCAATAGAACAGTGATATAAAATTAGGGATTAATGTCTCTTGACACAGATCTTTTGGGCTGTGGGATGACTTCTGAAGGAGTCATTTACCACATGCTGGACAAGCAAAATGTAATAACCCTTAGGTGTATCCTACACTGGCATGCACGGGTGGATGTGTACCAAGAGGGAGGTCTCTCCCATCTCTGATGTCTGTAACTGACCATCCTGCTTTTAAAGCTTTTGTAAGCTTCCCTTGTGAGCCAAGGTAAAAGTAAATGAGAGGTGCCCATCCCTGTGCCATGCTGTGTGTCATCTCATTGCTGTTCTGCACCTTTCAACACAGCATGTTTCCTTGAACACAGCTGTTGCTCTCTCAAACAATAACAGAATCCTTCTGCAGTGGGAAAAGGACAAAGACACTGTGCAGCATAAGGAATGGTGTTCCACAGCATGGGCTCACAGCTTAGTCTGCCCCGTGCAAGCAGGAACAGGGGTCAATGTCTATGCAGCTTGTTTATTTTATGGTTCTCATGAAATAAGCAATTTAGCCACAGATATTTCAGGTCTGTCTTTTGTGAAAGGTCCTTACAATCAATTGTTCTTTTCCAGCTATGCATGGCAGAATGAGTGGGGACCAAGATGCTGGCTGCCATTGCTACATACTGGGCACCCTGGTAAGCAAGTCTGGTATTGCTGAGGCCCAGACAGAGCTGAAGAAGAAGGTCCTTCACACCCTCTGGGAGGAGGTCCTGCGATTCCCATTAACAGAGGAAGAGATGCCAGAGGGGACACTGAGTCTCACCCTGAGAAACTGCGACAAGTTCTCTAGACATAGCATTGTGGGGGAACTCAAACTGAGCCTTTCTAACATGGAGTCATTTGGGATGGCCCAATGGGAAAGACTAAAGACCCCAGAGAAGGTATGGACTCAGTCTATGTTGGCAGTCTGGAAATTCTAATGATTAATTGTTTGGACAAGAGAAACTCTTTTCCAAGATGGCTGCATGTCCATGGGTGCTTTTATTTGTTTGGAGCCAGGTTTATTGAGATGATGTGTGACTGCAGAGGTTGGTCTGTAGCTAACCATTTCAGAAAGCAATCAAAGGCACATCAACCCTGCCCTTCCATCTACAGCTCCCAGCAGTTAAGATGTGTCAAAACTCCCTCTCCTCCTCCCTCAATTACATAGCCATCTGACACTACCTGTAATTCAAAGCTTACAACTAGAAAAAGTTACGTGAGTTTCTGTGAAGTAGCAATGAGGGACTGTGGTGGCAAGAGCTGAAATACCAGCGAGCACCTGCAGAGCAGGATGGAGGGGCTCTGCAGAGCTGGATGCGGGTAGGGCAGATGGTGGCACCCCAGGGACTCTTAAGCTAGGAGTGAAATACATTGTTGGGAATGAAATGTTTGACTGAAAACCATTTATCCTTACTGGGATCAATGCAGCAGTGCTATTTATTCTGGGAGATGTCAAAGTATCACTCACTGCATTGTGGTGGTTTTCTTCGCAAAAATTTTGCATCTTGAGTATAAATGAAAATTGAGGGAAGGATTCCAACACTACTTGAAGTGGGTACAGGGGTTGTTTCATGTGTACTTACTTCTTGCACATTTCCTCAGGAGCCTTTTCCCAGCCGTGAGCTAGGTTATCTTCTAGCAGCAGTAATACACTTAACAAAACGGCAGCAGGACACTGCTATTGTTGCTACTAGCGTCACTGAAATCAGGAATAGAAAAACTTCTTAACACCAATGTAGCATTAAGAAGCAGGCATTCTCTATTCGATGTCGGGTGTGAGGGGCATTATTTATTCCATCCAAGCTTGCACGAGTATGGTCACTTTTCTTAGCATATTTATACACAAAAGTTTCAGGATTTTGCAATCTAAGTTACAATGATTGGTTGCAATATAAGTATAATTACAATGCATTTAAATATTTGCTTAATCATTCTCAAATCAAACGCACTTTCGTACAAAGGGTCTTTTGGTGGTCTCTGGTGGTCCCTGGCGGATCTGAAGAGGTAATCTTACTGTTCTTGGTTTTTTAACTTTATGTATTAATATCTTAATTTCCCTTATCAACCAGTGTCTCCTAGTCTATCTGCAGTCCTTCAAAATGTACTAGAACGTATCAGTGTGCCAGGATGTTTTGGCTCCAATTACTAAATTGGCTCCAATTATAAAGAAAACATGTTCTTGAGT